TCCGGGGGGGGGCAATCTCACGGTCATTGGCATTTTGGAGTGGAAAGGCCTTCCTTTACTGTATAGTTGTAAACTGTTCATTGAGTTCTGTAGTAGGTAATTTGTCCAAGGTCACAGAATTAGCCCAAAGCAGAGCCAGCACCAGGAGCCAGCATTAAATAAGCCTAGGTAGACAGGATACTAATATGCTAGTTAAACCTCCATGAATTAATCAGCTTCATAATCAGGCACAGTCATTTTTCTCTCCAGAATGTCTTGGTTAGAAAACTATTACCTTCCACTGTGTTCCTGTTCCTCTGACCTAGGCTGCTTGAACCAATGAAAAGCCACTTACTCAGCCCTCATGGCTACAGTTCTGAAGACAATGGCACTAAAGGGCATTTTAAGGTTCTACTGCAGAAACATTGTATACGCTAAGATGGAAACACTGTATACGCTAAGATGGAAACATTGTATACGCTAAGATGGAAACTCGTGGTTGAAACCAAAGCCTTTAAAAATAGGTTTATACAACTAATGGGCAGAAACTCTTGGAACAGTTCCTTCAATTTCAAGGGATCAACTGTGTTCTCTTTCCTACCCTAAGTCACTCTTGAAGTCTTAATTTGCCTTTAGAAAAATGCACTTTTTATTTTCCCTGGGACTTCTGGAAGATGATGCTTTAATTGTTGTAATTAAGCACAAGATAAACACATTTCCTGGGCAATTTTTAGCCCAAGGCCATAGGTTTGGGGGACTCTAGCATACAGCTGACTCTGGGACCCTTTCTACTGCGCATGTTTCAAATGGAAAATAGCTTGAAGGGTAACGGGAGTGGTGAGTGGTTATGGTGACGCTCACTATTGCTTTAGTTTGGGGTTGTGCAAATTCTCTGCTGCTACCTTTGTTAGCTACATACCTCCCCAATAATCTCTAACTTGTGATGAAGCATACTCTGCTTTATGCAATAGATAAACTTCTCAAGAGCAGAGGGTAAATTATATCAAATCATAGCTGACGTGCCCTAATAAACTGCTAAGACATTTTTGAGAGGCAAATCACAGACTCATTTCCTAATATTAATAACCTGGTCTTTTCTTAAGAGTTAACATTGTCATGTGTGGAGTGAACGATGGTTTGTTTCTTTTCCCCCTAGCCCCAGCTAGCACTATGTATCGTTGTCTTTCTAGAACTGGAACTTTTCTGAACAGATTTGACACTGCCCAGATGCTTGCTCTGGAAATCAAGGCCCTTCTGTGTTTTCTCTGACTCTGGCTTGGTTTTGTGAAACCTCAGCCTCTTCCCTTGCAAGGGCAGTTTAGGATGGAGAATTCAGCACAGCCAGGCACACCCAGAGAAAGAGGGCTTTGGAAGAAAAAAACGGGGGTGTGTATATGTGTGATGGGGAAGCAGAGGAAAGGCGACAACTGCGTGTTCTCCTACGGTGGTGGTGGTGGTACTGCTGGGGGAAGCAGCTGTTCCTCGGAACGCTAAATGAGCAGCAGAAAACTGTGTTACCCCCTGTGCGGGGCAAAACCAGCGCGTGCCACATACAGACTAGGTGTTGGGGTCCTGGGGCACCAGTCGGTGGCTACGAAACGCGAGGGGGCGTCGGCGCCAGCGCGGCTCTGCCCTGGGTCGGGAGGCCACACTGTGGTCGGGGCTGACTTGGGGTGCGTGCGAGCGGCGGGTGGGGTGACCCCCGCGGGGAGGGAACGGTTCTTACAGTCACGGCTCGGCGCGAAGGGCGCGCGGCGGCGGCCGAGGGAGCGGTCTTCGTTGGGCGCCTCGGGAGGCCTCTTACCGGCGGGCAGCGGGAAGGCGGACGCGGTGTGGAGCAGCACCAGGCAGACAGCCACGACATCCCATAACTTCATCTTAGAGTCCCGTCCGGCGGCGGCACCTGGGCGGGCGAGAGAACCGGGGAGAGCGCGTTAGGCCTGGACGCCGAGGGCCGCCGCGCTGCCCGGGGCGCCTCGGCCCGGCGGGTCCTCGGGGCTCCCCTCCAAACTCGGCACCGCCCTCCTCCCGGACCGCGGCAGCCCGGCGGTTCCCCGGGCACCCCCCCGCCCCCACATCCTCCTTCCTTCCCAGCCGCCTGCTCGTCCCCGCTCCTGGGTGCGCCTCCCTGGCGGCCATCCCACAAGTGCCCTTCTCTTCCGCCACCGGATCCCAGGGGTCGGATTTTCGAGCAGCGCCGCTGCCCCCGCCGGTACCAACACTACGACACCAGCACTGGCGCGCAACCGCCCCCCTCCCCGGCCCCCGCTTCCTGGGGGGCGACCGGGCAACCGTCACCCTGTGCTTCCCGCCCCGTCCAGCAGCTCCCACAGGCCCCGGGGAAGAGCCCTGGACCCAAGCAAGAGACCAGCCTTTTATTTTAGGAATAAAATCAAGTGCGGGACCGCCGGGGGTCCTGATCCTGCTCTCAGCTAGGCGGGGGCAGGCTCAGTGGCACCACTAACCTCGCCCAAGCTTTATAACCTCCTCCCATTTTTTTTTTCTTTTGGTACTTGGGCCTCTCACTGTTGTGGCCTCTCCCGTTGCGGAGCACAGGCTCCGGACGCGCAGGCTCAGCGGCCATGGCTCATGGGCCCAGCCGCTCCGCGGCATGCGGGATCCTCCCGGACCGGGGCACGAACCCGTGTCCCCTGCATCGGCAGGCGGACCCCCAACAACTGCGCCACCAGGGAAGCCCTGCTCCTCCCATTTAACTTAGTGTTTTGTCGTCGGAACAAGAAGTTCGTAGGTACTTGGAGACTTTGGGGCTGTCCGGGGAATATCTGAGTTAAGTTACTTCACTTCCCAAAGCTTCAACTCGGTTTAAAATACTAGTTCCATTTCTTAAGGTTATGAACATTAACACAGGAAAAGGCCTAGCCAAGCAGAAAGTAAGCGCTCAATAAGTGCTTTAGCGTTACTGTTAGGGAGGGATTGCCTTTGTCTTGAAAATGTTCGTGGTGTCCCCGAACGCCCTCTTTATTTTTGCAGTGTTGCGAGATTCTGGCCTTAAATCCCTTCCCCTCGCAGAGGAGTTGCGAGCTCCCCACGCCCGGTCACAGTCACTCCTGGACAACTGCACCCGGTCCGGGACGCTACAGAGGAGCACGGGCACCAGAAGTTCTAGACCAGGAAAGGGCGCGCGGTGGGGCTCAGGTCCTCTGAGTCAGGCGCCTCCGTTTGGTCTGTCACTCCGCACACCCCTAGAAAGGAGGGTCACGCAGCAGGGGGCTGGTGAGAAAAAGGCCCCCTTAACTCGGGGCCAAGCCCCACACACTCAGGAGGTGGCGGGAGACCCGGGCGCCTTGGGGTGCGGTGTTACCCCGTGCCTTCCCAATGCCAGTGTTCAGTTTCCAAGGGCTACGAGACTCATGCAGTTGATTATCCTCTTTTCTCCAAATAAAAAGGATTCTTAGGAAAATCTCCTTGAACTTTTTCCGTGGGAGACAGTACGAGTTTCCAGGTAAAAACAAAAACTTTGGCCCCTTTCCTCTCCATTAGCAGCCAGGAGCGCCCGCCTCCCTTCCAGCAACCGCCCCCCATCTCCACCCAGAACTCCCGCCCGGCTTCCGGTGCAGGCCACCCGGGGAAGCGTTTCATTCGACCGCCACCTCCCACCGCTGCGGAGACGAATGCATTTTCCATCCTTTGGGCGTCTGTTTGTTCGCTATGCAGCTGTTGGGCTCGGGGAGTCTGTAGGGACTAGGAACTCCGAAAACCTGCAGCTCCAGGCGCCCCATGCCCCGCTGGCTGATTTACAAACCCGGGGAAAAGGAAAGGCTCTGGGTTGGGGCGCGGGGGCCCAAGCAACACCTGACCCAGGCTGTGCAAAACGAGCCCAGCGAGGCGCTCGAGCAGAGAGGACAGGGGAACGCGAGGCCTCCCGCCCCCTCTCCAAGGGCCCGCTCGCTGGTGCGTGCGAACTGGCTGGCGGCCCTGAGGGGCGGGGAGGCGCGGGATTAATGCGCTGTCCCAAATCGCGGTGGCAGCCAGCAGGAAGCGACAGAGGCACCAGATTTCCCTTCCGCATTAAGAGGGTTTTTCCTTTTTTTCCTGCTTGGCCGACGGAGGGCTTTTTAAATTGGACGTGGAGATCCTCAATTAGAAGTGTGGCGAAGCTGGCAAAAGAGTTCAGCGGAAAACTCCCCGCCTCGCCAAAGGAGGCTCCCGACTCCGGTTCCCGCCCTCGGCCGGGTGCGGCGCAGGCCAAGAAAAGAGCTCTCCCACCTCCCCCGGACGGGGAGGGCACAATCTTCCCTCTGCTCACCGCCGGGGCAGGATGCCGCCGGAGCGGCTCTTTAGTTCCCGGTGTTTGCCTGGCGCAGCAAGAGGAGGGAATCCGGCGGCTCGCATTCACAGCGGTCCACGCAGAGGGTTTTCCCACACCGCCCCCCACACCCCGCGGGTTCCCTGATGGTCTCTCTATCGCTTTCTTAAAGCACATCTGTCCGACGTATTTCTGCCGCAACCGTCCGCCTTTGCTACGAGCGCGAATTGCGGGACGCGCTGCCACGCGCGGTAACCAAGCCCTCCTCCCGAAGTCGGCTCCGCCAGGTGCCCCCGCACCCGTCCTCGTACCCTACAGGCTGGTTCCCCTCTGCGCCCAGGACTTACGCGCCTGGCAGGGCAAAAGGGGAGCGTCGCGGGCGCCGGCACCTGGTGGTCCCCAAGTCCAGGGCGGAAAGGACGTCCCAGGAGCCAAAAGTGCCGGCAGAAGCCGCCGCTCGCCGTGGGGCGCTTCTGGGTTCCCAGCACCAGAGGGCACCAGAAACCGCCGGAGTCCTGGAGCGCCCACGCGGCTGGGGCTGCGTTGTCATTTTAAGCATAGAACTGATGAACAAGCACTCCCCTTACAATCCTTCCCCAAATGCAAATTACCACACCCCCCCCCGGAACTTGGGATGTCCTCACGAGCACCCCTGCTTTTCAGGCTCCTAGCCCTCTTCACCCTCACTAATTTTTCTCTACCCACCTCAGTTAAGCTGGTTTCTCGGCAACCTGCTTTTTGAACTCCCCCCGCCCCCCCCCCCCCCCCCCCCCCCCGCCCG